GTGCATGTTGCGGCTTTGCTGCCGAATAATAGAAGCTCCGCTGTCTGTTGTACTGACCCCTTAAAGGTGTAGAAGCGACTGCCTCAAGGCGGGGTTGGGAGGCCCCGCCCCTCATCGAGAGAGCAGCCTACCGAATTCACCCCTCTGTGCTTCGATCCCTGATATATCAGGAGCAACGGCCCCCTACCAAAGGAGCTAGCTTTCGTGAGAAGGCAACCCAAACACTCGCCATGATGTATGTACCGCACTAACTTGCATCTCCGACAAATCCCCACCTCATACATGCGATCGCGCGGGACTCTTGACATGGTCCAGGCATGGCGGGCTCATGGAAGAACCACGATGACAGTATAGGTCGAACCTGCAGAATCCCCGCATCCACCGCAGTCTGCGCAGCCTTGGCTTGGGTGTGTAGTAGTGTAGCCCACTTGGGCAACTTAGACAAACCTCCAAGCCAGTGCGAGATATCGCGTGCTCCAGGTTCACATATTAAAACAACTTCAGGGACGTGGGTCCGTCGTGGAGGTGGATGCCGGGGAAACTTGTATAGGCTTGCAAAATATTGCGGAAAATGTCGTTACCCAGTTTCGTTAGGTTTGCAGAGGTTTTGGACGTGCAGAGCAAGACTGAAGCACAAAGCAAAGCCTCTCAAAAACAGTTGCTTGCAGGGCCCGCTAGGCCTGTGACTCTGCTGGGCGGCCCGGCCATTGGCCCCGTAGTGGCTACGATGTTGGCCAAGGCGGCTGCGGCGTTTTCCGCACCGAGAAGACTTGGAGGCTCGCCTGATGCTCAACCGAAAAACCAAAGGCGTTTTGCGTGGGGTCTTTTTTGATCTAATTGCGACCTGGTCCAGTACATCTTTTCCGACTTCCAGTCCCCAACCTCCTTCCACCTCAAACGTAGACCAAAGCTCAACTCCTGCCAATGCCCTGGCATGCAGGGTTGCAATGCGAAGACTGTGGCGAAATTTGTTCAGCGGAGGCACCCTCGGGAGACACTTCCAGGAAGCGCGTCAGGCGAGGTATGGCCATCGCTCGGTAGACTGCCTCCCACATACACACACAGACACACACGAACACACAGACGGAGAAGCACGCCTCTCTCTGTGTAAAGTGTTTTGTCCGCGCAGCTTCTTGCAACTCGGATCGTGCAGACCTGTCACTAAGTATACAGCAGGAATACCGCAATGCCAACAAGTATGACAGATAAGATTTGGACACGTACAAACAACAACACGGCTCGAAAAAAGCAGTGTCCCATCAGGGTACAGCAAGTGACAGCAGAAAAAGAAGCTCTCACGTTCATGTCGATTAGTGTAATCTTCCGGCTACAAGCGTGGTATAATACCGGGCACGAGAGCTTTCCTTCTGGTCCACCTGTTAGGCTCTACTGCCCAAGATATGAATCAGCGGCGATGGAGAAAACTACTTAGAAGCAAAGCAGAAGGCCACCTCGTCACAATCATATAAGGTGGGGGTGCTTCATGAGACGTCCCTTGTGATATCGTCAGGCTACTGGACAGAGCTTTGTTAGACGGAGCTCTGCCGGCCCGCTCCGTCGTCTTGGGCGCATGTACGCGGCTGCCCACGCACACAGACACAAACACACACACACACACAGACAGAGGCTGGCATGCTCGCTCGCTCGCTCGCAGAAGGGGAAGTCGGGCGCGCGTGCCTTCCGGCAATTCTCCCCATGGCCGCTGAGCAGATTGGCCAGGGCCGCCAGAGCACGCTCGCGGACCTCATGGTGTCTCGACTGAAGTCGCCGATACAAGGCACTGCACAGAGAAAACCTCTGTCGTGGGGGGGATTCACATGAGGGCTGGAATTCTATGGGTTTTCACGACGGGCAGATCGTGCTGGAACTCCTTGCACATGTTGTTTTCCTTTCGCAATGTGCCGTGGAATCATTGTTGATTGCTGGAATCCTTTGTATGCTTCTGTCTGCACCCTGTCCCCGATGTCCTCAAGCTGCGGATGGCTTGCCTCATTTTGAATCATAGAACTGCCTGTCAACTCAGGCACGGACGGCGAGGGAATGGTCATCCTCGAGGTAGCCACACAGCACCTGCAGGAGAGCAGCACCTGCAGATGGCTCCCCTCATGTTAGGCATTCACCGCCCAGGGGGCCGTAGGTCAACGTCGTCCCCATCGAGTCACTGAGCCTCCACAGCGCCGTTTGCACCGACGGCCTCCTGGGCTCCTGGCTATCGCGGGAAGAAGGGACAAGACTCTCACGCGACGGAGCCGATCGACGTGCAAGCAGTGTCGGTTTCTACTCACGAGTAGACATGATCGCCTGCGGCCAGCAGCAGGGATGTCAGGGCGCCCAAGGCATTGATGAGCACCTGCTTTTAGCAAACAGTTCAGAGGATGTCGAAGTGCCAGTCTGGCTGTGACAAGTACTGTCCCAGAGGAACAAGAGCGCATGCAACACACTGCAGGGAGCCACGGTTTAGGGCTTAGGGTTCAGGATGCAGGCATACAGCAGACACTCTCTAAACCACACCCTAAAACTCTGCACCGCTTCCCCAAACCAAACCCAGACTTCGTCGGCCCATTTACCAAAGCCTTGCGGGTGATGCGGGTGTCGTCTTAACTTTCTGCATTTTCGTTTAGGGTTTGGCGGGCTTCCGTTCAGGGGTAATATCGGGGTCGAAATGGTTACCAACATTGTTCCTTGGGCTCCTTCTCATATTTACATGGAGATTGAAGTCCCTGTAGCTTGCGCCGACGACCACACTTACACAGGCCCAGTGCCCCGCCCAACTTGCCTCTTGACCCTCCACCCCGGGTCCTAAAATCCTAAACCTTAAACCGCTTGAGCCCAAAAACCGTAATTCTGAACCCTAAACGGGCATCCGCTTCAGGATTTAGGGTTTAGGTTTGTGGTGATAGGTCTTTGGGCTTAGCCCGAACATAAACACACTTTCGGATGGCGCATCCCGGTTCTATTGGCCTGCTTAGAGAGGGGAGTTAGGTATAAACAAACTCATGGACCCATGGGTCTTTGACTAGGTGCTTTGTTGCGTCCCTGCGCGGCTCTTTAGACGATCTTTAGACGCTTAGGGCTTAGGACTCGGATGGCCAATGTGGGCCCTGGAATGAGCGCAGTGAGAGCTCAAGGCATCTCCAGCCTCATCGGCTAGTGTGGCCTCGAGTCAGTTCGGAAAAAACTCGTGAGATTCGCACGTGATCCAGCATTCGGCGATGGCACTCTCCGAACCCCCTGCAAAAACGCTGGGCATTCCGCTGAAAGGATTGGCAGCAAAACCTGGACAACATGTGAAGAGAGGGGCGCAATTTCTACGTCGAGAGCCGACAGCAGTTGTTCAGCATCATCTCCACAATTAGGAGGTCACGGGATTTCTGGCAATCGAAATCGGACGGAGCTGTTCGATGAGAACAGAATCCTACTGGCAGACTGAAGAAGCCTTGGTCTGAGCTGCAAACGGCGGCAGCGCCCTCTCGGAAAGCAGTGGCGGCATGATCCCGCTGACCGAACTGCGGAGGACTTCAAGAGCCAAAGAATTTGCCGTGGTCTTCGCTGTAGCCACTGCCTGGATGTTCCACAGCGCATAGGCAGCCTCTCGGGCAGCTCCCTGTCAGGACTGGGGCCACGAGTTGCATGCACCTTTGGTTTCTCAGAGGTTTGTCGGGCTTGTGATTAGACATTTGTGTCTTCCCTACAATGTAATGCGTCGAGGCTAGCCACGTCTGTCTGATTGCTTCCTGTTCCTTTTTCTCAATGCTTCTGTTCCCGGGCTGCGGGCTGCTAGATCCGCTGGCTCTGGTTCTAAAGTTCGGATGCTTTCAGCTCATCGAAGCTCAGCACCTGTCGGGACCTCCGGATAGCTCGGGCATGTAAAGCTGTTTCGAACCACTTTGCAAAATTAGTCCACGCTCAGTGTCTTATCAGTGTGAGGGTCTACCTGTCAAATCTTTCAGGAATTGTCGACGCCTCGGCACGCCGCCCAAGCAGACGAACAAGTGACCTGCCGTCTACAAGAGGCCCGCGAGTACGACCCCTGTCGTAGCACTTTTGGTTGCAGCCACAGCACAGATGGAATATGACTACACAAGGCTTTGGAGCCGCTCTGCCTGATTGCTCCGGCTCTGCCGGCACGCGCCTCGAACCGTGGACAGGTCAGTTGTCGGACATGCATGATGGCGATGACCATGACCACGACGACAAGGATGATGGCGATGACCATGATGATGATGACGATGACGATGAGGATGCAGATGATGGTGAGGATGGTGATGAAGATGATGAAGATGATGCTGACGACGATGATGATGACGATGACGATGATGATGATAAGGAGGAGGATGAGGAGGAGGAGGAGGAGGACGATGGCGGTGACGATGACGATGGTGATGATGGTGATGACCATGATGATGATGATGGTGGTGGTGATGATGATGAGGATGAAGATGATGATGATGATGGTGATGATGATGAGGAGGATGAGGATGATGATGAGGAGGAGGATGAGGATGAGGATGATGATGATGATGACGGCTGACGTCGGCGGAGGAGGAGGAGGACGACGATCGTGTTGGTCGTGCTGCTGCTCCCAAAAAGGGTGAAGTGGTCTCAACAACACTTGCCCAAGCTCAGCCATGCCTGCACCACCGGGTGCCGATAGCAGATGCAGCCGAGCCTTCGAGAGGGAGAGAGGCACAAGGCGGTTTCGGGTGACGGATTGTGTCATTTTGAGACTCACGACTCAAGTCTTGGCTTCACGGTGGTTCATCAGCTTCGAGCCTATGCTATTATCACTATTACCCGGAGGAAGTCAACAGCCACGGTCAGAAAAGATGCTTCATAAACCAGAAGAGGGCGTGGTTGAACAGGACCCCATTGTCGCTCACACTTTCGGTTCGGCTGCTGGCTGATTTCAGCCAAGCAGTAGCCCGCAAGACTCAATAATGGGCCGCAGGGGACCGACACCCAGAGCAGTGCTGAGCAGGCTTGTGCAGTGGAGCCGAGCTCTAGAAGTTCAGATGCTCGACGCTGCGAGAGTTCTCCAGGATCCGCATCTGCCAGCTGAACTCCTGGGCTGTTGACTGCCGTGAGAGCTGCTCTGCAGACCGGACCAATGTGCCTGCACAAGCACAGCGTTCAAATCAGAAGGTTCTCAGCTCGTTTTGTCCGTGCCTCGAGCATTGAGGAGCTGGTGGTCGAAGGAGCGCCGGTCGAGCTCCTCCAGGTCCCGCTGTTGCCGGACGCAGACTGCGGTAATCACGATGGAGCCCACGTAAGCCGTGTGCAGGGCATCGGTCAGAGGCATCTGCAAAACGAAAACGATCCAGAGGATGAAGACCGCACCGTTCACGAAGCAGAATAGGAGTGTGTCCACGGTCTGCATTTGTTGCATGAAAACCATGGAGATGTTCGTCATCCCTAGGCCGATAACGGAACTAAATGCCTCGACTTGCACCGCCTGCAGCTGTGTGGATCCGTCCGTGGCAAGGGAAACGAGCAATGGCTGGCAGATAACGCATCGGCCGAAGAAAAACGCACAAAGGAGAACATTGTGCCACACCCGCCAGGCACCCGGCGCAGAAGGTGAGGCGAACATCAGCAATTTTCGGATTATCAGACCAGCACCGAAGGCAGTGTAGAAAAGAAGCACTAGCAGAACTCGATAAGGAGGGTTCATGGCGATGTCCCAGCAAAGCATCAAAAGTGTGGCCAGTGCAGACCAATCCATGCAAACCCAGGAACGTCGTGTGTAGTGCCACTGGAAGAGGCTCTCCACTGTCGGATCGCTGAATGGGCTGTCAGAGGGAAATGAAAGGAAGAGCATCACTTCGATATCTACCTTCAGCTGCTTCAGGCCTTCGCGCAGGTGCTGGCGCAGCGCCTGCGACGGGAAGCCCGCCCTCTTCGGAGGGCCCTCTTGACCGCCTCCGCTCTTCGGGCTTCCGTTCCCGCTCCCTCTTGACACTGGAGGTGTCGGAGGTGTCTCGTGGGGATCGGCTGAGCGCTCTGAGAGCTCTGCAGGCTCCCTGCCGCTCTCTCCGTGCTCAGAGCCCTCACCGACTGCCGAGTCCTGTGCGGAGCCCGCCGAAGTCTCCTTCAGTCGACGGAGCAAGGAGCCCAGAGCCGTCTCCTGAAACCACATCTGCAGCTCCTTCAGACACAAAGAAACTCATGAGTCTACTGATCATGCCGTGTGCTGGACATCGTGTGGCTTCGTTGCTGTCCTGCAGGCAGCGCGTGAAGCACCCAGGGCCAGCTGCAGGCGGCCTTTGCGCATGAGAGTTGGCAATGCGCCGTAGGAGGTCCAACACAAGGAGGTTCGGATCGAAGCGATCCACCATGGCCGAACAAACACCCTGGCCCAGGTAAATGTTCCGTGTACTTGGTGCAATGTTCTTCGGGCGACTGTGTGGCGGAAGTCTTGACTTCTGCAAGAAGTCAGCGTGGGTTGCTGGGAATCGTGATCAGGCACTTGCCGTGCCGTGCTCGTTTGAGCCGATTGTCAAGCTGCTCGCGGATAGTCATGAATGCACACAAGAGAAGAATCTGCGGAGGGTCAACCTGGGTCGTCCGTGAGTCTTCCCGGCTGAGAGATCGGCTGCCAAGAGAGTCTTTGAGCCCTACTAGTATCATCGGTTTTTGGCCGCTGCTGGGCCCCCGTGCGCTTCGGCGGCGAGGCTTGCTTTGCGGATATCCGGCGAGGTGATCGCATCCACCTTTGGTCGACGACTCTTGGAGAGGAATAGCTGCTGGCAGTTGTGAACGAGGCTTGGGACTAGGGCTTGGACCAACGGCTGGAGCCCGTCTGAAGTCATCAGCGACTCGGCCACAGTCTTGTGCTGTGCTCCTTGTTCGGAGAGGCGACCGGTTTCAAACGCAACGAACAATGTCCCGCCCGGCCTCCAGCAGCCATTTCCATGGACCTGCAGCATTCGACCTACAAAGCCTTGTTGCGGGGACTGGGATCACTTTGGACGGCCACCTGACCTGCGCGCGACCTGCGCCAAGAGTGCCAAGGCGCCAGTAGTGCCACGCCGCAATGGCTGCACAAGCGCACCAGACAGGCCTGGAAAGACTTGATGGGCTTCGGCTCTCTGTTGGACTAACTTGGCTTCGCTCTGACACTGCGCAGTTGAACAGTGCCTGTGGTGATCAACCGGATGCATGAGTCATCGTCCTTGCCAGTGGCTGAGTGTGTCTCCACAACAGATCCGGCACTTTTGCCACACTTTGCCACAGTTCAGGGCTAGTCCTCAGCTCTTTCTGCGGCTTCGGCGATGGCACTCAGGTCGCATTCCCTGCGGCCCGGCTGCAGTGAAGGAAGAAGGGTTCAGCAGAGGGATATCGGTCGAAGAACGTTCCACACTCGGCCTGATTCGCTTCAGGATGGTCCGGGACTCCTCCGCGGGACACGCAATATGTCAGCTGCGCGGCTTTGCAAATAGTTTCAAGCAGAGTTATGTTGAAGATCCAGAAAGTTCTCGACTTCACCTAAGGTGATTTGCGGCGATTTGCCTTAATAACGCCCGGCACTGACTGGTTGCCCAAGAGGATAATGCTGGGCTTGTCCATAGGCCCGCGCAGCCGTTGAAAATTGCAAAATCGGGCTTCTGCAAAGGCTTGAAGACCTTGAAGGTTGCAAAGCGGTGCTATGCGGGGGTTCTGATTGTAGAGTGGTAACTCTGCTTGTACATCAAGGTACACGCCCCTACGGAAAAGGATACGCTACTTAAAGCCCGGTCCGAAAGCCCTGATCACATCCTCCGCAGAGAGAGGTGGGATCTTTGCCGCCCTCGCCACCTTATCATGGCTCTGCAGAAACCGTGGACGATCACGGAGCGGCACTGGGCAGGTCTGAGGAACTGCGCTAGAATCATTAGCATCTTGCTCCTCAATAGCCCCCTGTAGTAACACGATCTAGCTGCTGGCTCGGACATGTCTGATCTGTCGACCTCGCTACCTTAACTGCAACAAATGCTGGAAGATGTGCCAGTCCGCCTGCTGCTCCGCCTCCATTTTCAGAGGCATAGGCACCCGGAGTGCAGCGGTGGCTTCCTCCACCGAGGGTGGGACCACCTCCAATCAGGGAGAAACTGCATTTAACATGCAAGATAGCTTTTCCGCTGTTCAGAGACGCTACGCTAAGCCAAGCTTAGGAGGACTTGGTGCGAACCCTTTCTGCGTCGACGCCGCGTGCAGAGCCTGATCTGCTTCGAAAGATGAAGCTTCTTCTGGTTTCCCGCAGACCTGCAGCCATGCACGTGACGATCACAATCCTGACCCGCTTTGATGGGCTAACCTCGACGGAACCCCAAACTCTCGGCCTTGCCTCAGTTTCCGGCTCTTCCTCGACACCGTCCGAGACCTGGCGCTGAAAGGCGTAAAATCCGTCGCACTTCTGACGTTTCACAAATCACCGGAGACAGGACAGGTCCATGCCCTGTCGAAAATGCAACAGCGACTTGACAAGACGGGTGTGTAGCAGCAGCAGCAGCAGCAGCAGTAACAAAAGCAGATGTGGGAGTGGTAGTACTAGTCGTCGTCGTCGTTGTCGCATTCGTAGTCGTAGTGGTCGTCATAGTCGTAGTTGTAGTCGGCAGCCGCGGCCGTAGCCGTGGTCGTGGTCGTCATCGCCGCAGCCGGAGCATAGCTAGCGTGAACCCCAACCCATCTCACTCGCATCAGCCCTTCTGCGAAGTCTTATCGCAACCTGCAAAAACCCAACGGAAATCTGACCTGATGCCAGGATCTTACCGAACCCATCATAAGCAAACCTGACCCGAATCTAGCCGGTCTAGGTCCTACTTACCTGGCCTTTTACTCCAAGTCTCCAAGCCCAAACAATCCTCTGCACCCGAGACGGGTATGCGTAAACCCTGAAGGCCCTAAAGGCGAGGTCGGAGAATGCTTGCTGTCACCCCGAAGCGAGAAAAGTGATGTGGGGCGGGAATGCTAAACCCTGACAAACAAAGACGTCCCTAAAACCCTACTCTCACAGTAGTAGTAGTAGTAGTAGTAGTAGGAGGAGTAGGAGTAGGAGTAGGCGTAGGAGTAGCAGTAGCAGTAGCAGCAGCAGCGTAGCAGTAGCATCAGCAGCAGCAGTAGCAGTAGAAGCAGCAGTGGTAGTACTAGTTCTAGTACAAATACGAGTACTAGTACTAGAGTTCTATATACTAATGCCAGTACAAGTACTAGTACAGTGTGCGTGCAAACTGGAACTGCTATTTGGCCAAGATTGTTGAACAGTCTTGCAATCTTGCTCCGCTTGCTCCACTTGCTCGGGGTGTGAGATGACGGGCCAACTTGCAATCTTGGGGGGCGGGGTGGGCAAGATCGACGAGCAGGCCTTGTACTCTTGGTTCGGTGAAACTAGGGGGGCATGGGAGTTTCGAGCAGTCATCTTGCTTTACGTCAACTCCCCTTCGAGGCCAGCAGGACAACCCCCCCTTCTTCCCTTCCTTTCCATTCCCAGACCTCGTGAGCCAGCAGGCTAGCACGATCAGCGCGATGCTGGAGCGAGCCGGACGAGATATAGGCGGGGCTGGGGTTCACGGAAACCACCACCGAGCAAGTGCAAGGTTGCCAACCCCGCCCCGGTCTTCCGGTTCTCTTATCCTTTGGAGCTGGGATCGAGGGTGGAGGGATTTTTGTCCCGGGGCCGCTCCCCCCCTTGAATTAAGCAAGATGGCAAGAACCCCCCCCTCCCGCCCCTCCCTCCTGCCTTTCCTTGCGGTAGGCGCTGTGGACTCCGCGAAAATCCGACATGGCCACAACCCAAAAAGGTGATCAAGACGAGGCCCGACTCAGCCCTTTCCTCCCCCCATCCATAGACGCCCTTGATCATTCACGTCTTTTGCGGTTGGTTGACAAACCAAAAAATGAGCCTTCCTGCCCCCTCTATCTGGGGGTTTTCACTCTTCCCAAATCAACACAATGGCAACGCTGGAACGATTTGTCACGTCTTTTGCTGCTGGTTGACCATAGTAATGAAATAAACGAAACATAATCTTTTTGTAACACTAATGCAAAATATTATATAATATTCGAAAGAGGAATCAAAGAAACGCACGCTATTAGTGCTAGAAAACGGGGCTCGTGCTTCTTGCTGTGATTTCATTCTGTGTTTTTTCGCTACAGTTTCTGTTACAATTAGATGAAGAGCAAAGCGACTTCCTGTTTTACAATTAAACGGAAGACAATGAAGGGAGCAAAGAGAGCGAAACCGCATCTTTCAAGCACACCGTTCACATTAAGAATACGAAGTGAGCTCATTTGTTCCTTTTCAATTTAATAAATACAAAGAAGAGAAGCGTAGGTGTCATGATTTCAACTGAAGCAAACAAAGTAAGCGAGCGAGCGACGCAATAATAAATCGCCAAGACAAGTGTTAACTTTCCTGTGTCTTTCACATGCAGGCCAGTTTGGTGGCCTTTCGCGAGAGTATTCTCGCACGTCTGGAAGGATATTGTCCGAGGAAATCCTGTTCGAATCTCGGGAGAGGTCTCAATTCTTCGCCGAATAGATGCAAGAGGGCAAACTGCAGCGGCCCCTAAGAGCCCTTCTGTCCGAGCCATGAGAATGAAAGCGGTCCGTGTTTGCACCCCGAAACAGGTCACGGATCTGATCCGCAAAGCTTTCTCCTTGTCCTGTTGGGCCCGACAGAACTCAACATCGGGCCCCGCGGCGATTCGAAGCTCCTTGTCGCAAGCATCGTAGTTCTCCTGTTGGATTCTTCGGGTTCTTCCAGGACGATAGCACTGGAAACGCCTAGGACATCCCATTCTATTTTCTGGATGCAACACAACTCGCGACCCTCGTTTTTTCATAGCTTTCTCTGGCATTGGCTTTCCGGGAGGTATGGTTACGGTCGTTGGCATTGACACTGCTCCTGCAAGAAGCAACAGCGGCCTTGCACGTCGAGAGATCTTCGCTCCCTTGGCGCTGGTGTTGCTGTTCATGTATAAGAATCTAAGGCTCTAAGGTTCCTCTGTAGGCAAGCGACCTCTCGGCCCCAAGTGCCTTTGGCACGCATTGTCACGGCAGTCCCCTTCTGTTCCGTGTGTTTTCCACGCAGGGGTCCGAGTCGGTTCCTTCCCGCAAATACGCGGGGATCCTCTGTAGCAGAGTTTGCATCGAAAGATTCCCTTATCTTGCAGCATCGCACATTTGTGTGTCCGTCAATAGCATGGGCGTAGTGTGGCCGCGTGAAGTAATTGGCTGTGTTGACAAAGATCAGCATGCGACGGCTCCTTTGTTTGCTTTTACTTCGGCGTGCACTGGTCTTCGCTGCTCTGCGACGTCGCGCCTTCGGGGTCTCTGGGGGTGCAGTCTCGCAGTCTTGGTCAATGCTGGTTTGGTGTGACGAAGGGGGGTGGACAAGACGATCTCGGCAGACCCGACGGCTCTGCTCATGGCTCAACACTGAACCTGGAGGAATAAACAAAACGTAAGAGGCGCGGGCGGAACAGGACGGCCAAGAATCCTCCCTCCCCCTCTCAAAAACTGCCCGGCGCCGGAAGATGACCAAGATTGCTGCAAGTCATCTTGCGCCCCCAGTCTTGACCCCCGCAAGACAGTCAAGTTTACGTGGGGGCCGACCAAGATGACCAAGGTTACCAAGGTTGGCAAGATTCTACAAAAAATAGCACTTCTAGGTTGCAGGCAGAACGTACTAGTACTAGTAGTGCTACTGGTACTACTAGTACTAGCTAGTACTAGTAGTAGTAGTAGTAGTAGTAGTAGTAGTAATAGTAGTAGTAGTAGTAGTAGTACTAGTAGTACTACTAGT